AGACTTCCTTCCTTGCTTCCAATTATGGCTTTCCCTGCTCTGGGACCTCTTTAGAGCAGAATTATATCTAGCTGAACTTAGATCCCCAGAACCAGACACTTTTTCCAKTGCAGACCCAGTGCTCGGCCATTGTAGTTACTGTGAGTTGAATGGTTAATGGGGAAGACTAGCTAACCTGAGCCACTCAGAGATCTTTGCCTCCTGCTCCTTGCTACACCAAGGGCCAAGGTCTGTCCATCTGCCTTACTGCTGCCTGTCATAGTCTTTCCATTTCCATTAGCATCATCCTAACTTGGGTCCTCCCAGGTCATACTAGGGGTACTGCAATGACCAGCTAGTCTTCCTTTATCCATCTCTCTYCATATTTTTACCCCTCATGTCTTCCTTTCTTTTTCTCATTTAATATAAGATCAAGTGCATACTATAATAATGTTAAAATAATAATAATAGCTTCTCTTCGGGAGGTGGATGCTGGGGGTCATCAGAGGCTTTTAGGAGAAGGAAACATGAGATTTGTGTTTTACAAGGACCATGTCTGTGCTGACTGGAGGACGGTTTCTAGTGTGGTTAGTTGGCTGGGAAGATGTCCCCTTTTAGTAAAATACAGAGACCAGTGAAGGATGGCAGGTTGGTGTGTGCTTGTTGGTGCAGACAGGGAAGTCATAGAAGGTCAGAAGGAGGTCAGTGATAAGCCTGGTCAACAATGTGGTAAGCTTGAGAATCTCACTAGGTACATACAGACATACAGACAGCTGGGTAGATGGGGTCTGCAGCTCAGGAGACATGTCTGCGATGAGACCAATTGTGCTCTATTTCCTTCTGGCACGTTCCCTCATCTTCAGATCAAAACTCAACACAAACAGTCCAATGACATAACTCACCTGTGGTCCTCTTTTGCTCTGCAATGTGAAATGGCTCCCTGATACCTCTGAGATCAAGGTTGAAGTCTTACTCTGCCACCTAGAGCCACTTCTCTGGGACCCCCAGCCTGATTTCTTCATTTATGGCTCACTTAATCCCATACTTTGTAATGATAGCACTCAGATTCCAGGAAGTGAGTGCTGACCAACAGAATCAGAATCAAAAGTTTTCTCTATCTCTGATGTCCATTACTGTGGCCATGTGTTGCACTTGCGATGAGGCTGATGTGACTGGTGAAATGAATTTTAGTCCAATTTACTTTAATTCATTGAAATGTAGATAGCCAGTCACAGTGGCTAATGTACTGGGCAGTGCACAACTAGCTAGTTACCTACTTGCTCCAGAGTGTTCTATGAATCTTAAACAAGTGCCTTCTCATCCTGGTCCACTGCAGCACCTCTGCAGCCCACACCTGACTCGGACCTCCTTCCCCAAGGGAACACGCATGATGTGTACAATGAATGACTCKAAAGCAAAGCTTATCATGGTTATTATTTTCATTATGAAAAACAGCTCCACTAATAGTAATAGATATCTTTGTTTATTTCATCCAGGAACAACTCACACCCATAAAGAAGAGAGACTGTTCAAAGAGATTAACAAAGAAACTTAGAACCAAGGCCCACCCGGCTTTCTTCTCTGATATCTGAACCATCCCTTGATAGGCCTGGCTTGTGAACAATGCTGAGGGTTAAGATACAGATCACTCTTCACGTAGGACCCAAGATTCCCCTGTTTAGTCACTGGCTCATTGAGCACCTCGCTGTGAGCCAGCACCCTCCCTGCCCCCAGTGTTTGGGTCTTGTTATAGTAGTATAGAGGTCAGTGTGGAGCCATTATATACTCTAACATGTAGTGGGTGGCYCCAGGCCCATAGTCAAATCAATTTTAGTGGGATGAGAACAAGCACTGAAAAAGTACGGGCTGTATATGTGGTGAGCGACATCATTTGAAAATACAAAAGAAGGTAGTCAGGCCTTGGCCAGACATAGGCTAACAGTGGTTTGCCTTACTGTCTTGAGGTTATCAAATCTCCTTTTGTCCAACTCTGAGAAAACAAGGTCCTCATACCTCTTGCTTTACCAGGCCATTCTGCAACACTCAGATGCTCCTAGGGGAAGGGGTTTGTTGTGGTTATTGTTGTTTTTGCCATGAAAAGGCATGAAAATTTCCCCAGAATTAAGCACAAAATGATATCCCTGCAACTGAGTTCTTCTGTGCAGAGTGAATTCTCTTCAATCTGTGGTGTCTTAGTGGCTCTTGCTAATGCCTGCCCCACCCCTTCTGTGCWGCTGGATACCTTTCACTTTTTCTGTCTCCCATAATGGTCCTAACAGAGTCTTTGGAGCTGRGCACTGTGGTGCAAGCCTGTAATCCCAGCGGCTGGGGAGGCTGAAGCAGGAGGATTGCGAGTTCAAAGCCAGTCTCAGCAACTTAGCGAGGCCCCAAGCAACTCAGTGAGACCCTGTCTCCAAATAAAATTTTTTAAAAAGGGCTGGGGATATGACTCAGTGGTTGAGTGCCCCTGGGTTCAATCCCCAGAACCAAAACCAAAAACAAAAACACAGAGTCTTTGGGTTTCTCTGGGTGGCCCAAGAAGCCTGAGTCCTTGTAGYCACCGTGTGACACCTGCTGATCTTCCCCTCTCCTGTGCAGTGTCCTTTTTGTGGCCTCATAAAGGTTCCTCATGACATTACTGCAATAAGCACCACCACCCCATGTCTAATATCACTACAGGTGGATGATCACAAAAGTCACACTGGGATAGGCTACACAGAGACTATTAAGGTGGGACAGAATGCTCAAATCTGATGGGCTGCCTCGCTCTTCCACTTTCTCTAAAAGTTTCATGTATGAACCATACTTTTCATTTCTGTCTGCCCTCTTTCTAGGGCAGATAAGCATCTTTGCAAGGTACATGCTTGACTTGGAGAGATACAGAGCTGAATATAGGCCTTCAAATTGCCTCCTCCCCACTGTACTCCTGCAGAAACCCTCCTGTAGTTCTTTTGGATCATTTGCACAGCCTTAGTTAGTAAGTGCTTAGCTCCAGTGAAAGATCTTGAAAATAGCAGATGGCTGAGGAACAAGATCTGAAACAAAGTTCTCTATTGGGTTGCCAGGAAACACTGACATGAAGCAAACCCTTTGCTTGAATGAATGTTGCCAAATTCTCATCAAAATACCATTTTTTTTACATTAATATTGAGTATTCATAYACTCTTGTGATGATGTTCATTTAGTTGGGGGCTGAGTGAGGTGCATCTGGAGACCTCTCCAGGTCCCTATGGGAAGTAAGGAGTGACTTCAGCTGGAACCCAGGTGTGAGAGTATGTTACAGGAACATGGACCCCCTGTGAGGGTCAAGAGACTGCAGTTAGRACAGAGTTCTCTGCAGACAGCACTACAGAACTGAAGGGCGGAACATTAAATAAGATGATAATTCTGAATACAATTGGAGTTAGTGGAGTAAAGATTATCATTCTGTATAAAATTCTAGTATTTGAAAATATGCCATAAACATGAATAAAAGCTGAGAATCATTGGCCTGGAAGGAGATAGAAATAAAGGAATCAAAAGCAATTGGGGAGAAATTGGCAATTAAAGGCACTAAATGTAGGAATGCAAGAAGAGAGGACRTTTAATGATAGAGCAATATTTTGAAGGAAGAAGTTGAGGAAGCTCTCAGAAATGATCTCCATATTTGTAGTAGGATGTAAAGTCACTTTTAACAAAATAAGAGTGACATATGCTTACCTTTGTCCAGGGACAGTGCCAAATGGTTTGTTTGTTTAATCTCCACAAATATTCCAAATAATAGGGGACTATGAGGAAGATAAGGCTCAGAGAATTTGTATAATTTATTCATGGTTAAGAAATCCAGGAAAGCAAAAACTGCTCTTTGATCAGGTGAAATGGGGGTGAGAGTGGAGCTGATGGCTTAGTTCAGCTATGTCTTGAATGTTCCAGGGACCAACAAATTCTGATACAGGGATTGTAAAGATGGAAACTTCCTCYGGCAACCTTTGCCAGAAGAAATAAATGCAGATATTTGGTATGAGTAAGTGTGGAGAACCAGCACAAAGTCCAGAAGCCCTGGAGCTCTAAGTGGTTTTAGAGTCATGGCTGGGAAAGAAGGAAGGTGGACATCAGAAGGAGATATTGAATGGGGACCAGAGTGATTGATTGGTGCAGGCAAGGGAAAAAGAGAGAGTTGCCCTGGGTGAGAGTCACCCTGGAGGCACAGGCCAAGACCCAACTGAATGGCCATGTAAAACTTTTGTGGGAAGGCAAAAGTCAGTTATACCTTACAGTGCGTGGAGGGGTCTGGCGTCAGGTCCTCCTTTGAGTTTTATTGGCAGTGACCACCTGACTGGAATAGTAATAGGAAGGCAATACCCAAGGCCTTTCTTTGGTTCAGCATAAAGGGCTGTAAATCCTCTCAGTGGGCAGGGGGACAGAAGGGTCCAGCACCTCACACAGAAGGAATATCAAGGAAGTGCCAACTGCCTGATGGGGGTCACCAGGACAGCCCTGGGGATTTTAGTGGGGTCTGCTGGACAAGRACTCCACTGGACAGTGAGGTCAGAGCTAACACCCCAGCTCTTCCTTGGAACCCGTGGCTGTGGAAGAATGCCCAGGCAGCTTCCGGAGGCAAAAGCAGCTGCGTGGAACTCACCGTGAACCCCCAGAGCGAGGCATTATTTTTTTCTCCTCTCTCTTGTCAGATACTAACTCCCACGCAGGAAAAGGAAGCACCTTTTGTCAGATGCTGCGGCCACTTCCTTTTCAGAAGGCTCCAGCCAATCTTTCGCTTTGCAGAATGCGGGGGCTGGCAGCAGCTGCTGGCCGGCGTGCGAGTCGCTGAGTCSGGCTGTGGTCAGCCGGGGCCCCTCGCTCCTCTCCCGGCCTTCGGGGGGGACTTTCTCTGATCCAGATCTGGACCCTTGAGCTGGACCCAGCAGTGGCTGCACCCCACTACTCAGCCCCCTCGGGGCTTCCTCTTTTGCCTCCCCACTCGCCCTTTGCTCCCTGGTTCATGTCCCTCGGTCAGTCGGCCTCTCTCTTCCTCTCTATAGCTCGGTCCAGGAGCGTGATGACCGGTGAGCAGATGGCGGCCTTTCACCCGTCGTCCACCCCCAACCCCCTGGAAAGGCCCATCAAGATGGGATGGCTGAAGAAGCAGAGGTCAATCGTGAAAAACTGGCAGCAGAGGTACTTTGTGCTGAGGGCACAGCAGCTCTACTACTACAAGGACGAAGAGGACGTGAAGCCGCAGGTACCCTACGGGCATTTGTCCCCTTTAATATGGCTCTCCCTCTGCAGGCATAGAGGAGGCCGGGCTGGGGCCAGGTTAGACRGCACCTAAACTCACGTGGGCCTTCTCAATAGAGCTGCACACATATCCATCTGCYGGGAGCTTGCTTTTGCCTTTTTACTATATTCTAGATACATAAATGTAGCAAAGATGACAGGAGCACTGTCCCCAGTGCATTGCTTCCTAAGTGCATTGCTAAGTCAAGGATCCCATTGTGGTGGCAACACTGAGTCAAGGGCTCAGAGTTCATTTGGGCTCAGGAAAACTGATTTGGGGGCTCTTTGATTTGTTCCTTTGATCAGTATATATTGGTCATTTGTAATGTTTGAACATAAGGCGTTCAATGCCAGACGGTATGTTGCGTACTGAAAATTAACCAGTGAGTAAAACGGGTAAAAATGCTGCCATATGGAGCTTAGAAAGACATAAAATAAACATAATAAGGAAAAGTATATAGATTGTTAGAAAAAGATTAGTTCTAGGAGGAAAAAAATTGAATGAGTAAGGGATATGGAGAAGTTGGGGGAGGTGTTGCAATTTTAAATAGGGTGGTCAGAGTGGCCCTGTGAAGAGGGTGATATTTTAGGAGAGGGAGTTAGTGTGGCAGATCTTGGGAAACAGCATTCCAGGCAGAGGGGACAGCCCCCATGAAGCCTAAAGGGGAGCATCTGTGGCCTGTGTGGATAGTAGCAGGAGGTCATTGCTGCAGGGAGAGAGCTGGAAATGAGAACCGGAGAGGATGAGGCCAATGAATTGAGGGCTGARGTCAGAGTTTGGGGTGGGGGATACTGATTGTGAAGGGCAATATAGGCGTCTCTGAGGACTTGAGCATTTATATTGAGTATCACAGGTGGCATTGCAGGTTTCTGAGCAGAGAGGTGACATTTTTAGTTTATGGCTCTGGGTACCATGCTCTAAATATGGCTCTGGGTAYCATGCTCTAAAATAAATGGAAGCTGGAACAGGACACAAGTCTATCTAGGTGAGAGGCTGTGCTATTTAGAATCACAGTGGGCTAGAAGCACGTGGTTAGACTTCGGAGGTGCTTTCAAGGTAGAGTGAGCAGGGTTTCCTGATGGCATGCACAAGGCTGTAAGAGTAGGCTTAGCGATCCCAATTTTTGGGCCTAGGACTCTCTTCCTCACCTAATGGATTCTTTGTGGCCATTGTGGTGTGTGGGAGAAAGAGAAGATTCCAGATGTAAGCTGGATGTCTTGGGACAACCAGGATGCCTGGGTACCCACCTAGAGCTTTTGTCTGTGTAAGTGAATAGGTGGTCTTGACTGAAAAGAGTGAGGATAAGAATGTGTGGATATGGACAGGTGAAGCCAAAATGAAATAGTCATTTTGGAAGAGGACAGCAGTTTTGGAAGGCAGGCTTGAGGACCAGCAGCAGATGAGCAGGACTTGGTTAACCATGCATCCCTTGATGGCTCTGAATGTTTTGAGTGTCTGTCACTCTAGAGGCTGAGGAAGGGCCCCAGAGTCCCTACCACACACTTTGTTATTGCTGGTGTCCTGTGTGTGGTAACCAGACTTCCTTTTCTTTATGAACAACTCAGACCTTAGCAGAGGTGAGCAATTTCAGGCCAAGACAGTGGTGGTTGGTGCATTGAGACAGTGTGGGAAGTTTTCCCATCTGCAGCGAGTGAGGGAAGTGTCAGTCCTCTTTGGCCATCCCAAAGCAATGGAAAGGACCGCTGGGTGACTTTTGCTTCTATGAAGTATGGAGAGTGAAAAGGACTTTATAGCAAAAGTTGTGTTCTTGTCCTGGTTCCACAATTGATCATGTAATTATTTAGTTTTTCTGGGTGCTTCTTTCTTCTTTTATATAATGAGACAATAATATATGGCCTTCATTTGTTCCATGATCCAATGATATGAAGCATGTGTAAGAAATTGTTTTGTAAAAACAGACTAAAGCTGAAGGGTAAAATTAGTATTTGGAGGTCCTTGATTCTTACCCTTACTTCTAGGAGGAGGAAACCCAAGGCTTATCAGGATTTGGTTAGCCTGAGATAATTAGGTAAAACTTCAAAGATGATTTATTTTTAAGAAATCTATTAAATGTAATTCACCAATGCCCTATGGCAAATTAGAAAGACTACACAGCCTCTCAACAGGTAGCTGTATAAAGCATTTGTTAAAATCTAACAATCTTTTCAGATGTAGAAAATTTAAAAATAAAGTTTTTAGGATTTCTTCAGAAGAATGAGTATATTTTACTATATATCGTCATGTGTGTTTTGATTATAAAAGTTATACATGTGCATGGTATGAAATTTGAAAAATGCAGAAAACCCAAAGAAAAAAAATTACATTCCCATCAACAAGAAATAAAAAGTTCAACATTCCCTACACATAGACATTTGGAAAATCATCTATTGTAAATGTAAAATTAGTATAATACTACTTAATTTAAAAAATAATAATGTATCATGAATAGTGCCCCCCTTAATATTAACATTATTCTGTGATGTAAATCATAATAGTGGCAAAATAATGTATCAGATGGATATTCTGTATTTAACTAATTTCTTACTGTTGGGAATTTGGACTAACATCTAGGTATTATCACAAACAAGAATTAAGTGGCCATGCTTATAGGCTTCATACACTCATAATTATTTCATTACAATAAGGAAAAATCTACTTAAAATACTATTATTATACTGTCACTTAACATTGTTTTGGGATTCCTAGTAATGAAATGACATGAAAGTTTTACAGACATGAGCCAATTTATTAGGTAAGAGCAAAGGTACATTTCCACATTGCATTTCACACCATTTATGATTTTAGATTAAGATTTAAATGTAAAAAAATAAATTTATAAAAATACCAGATGAAGATTTAGTTATCTACATGATCTTTGAGAAGCTAATATCTTTTAGAGCACAACAAAGATACACGAGTGAAAAATTAATTTCATAAATAAAAATAATATCTTAAAAATCAGCATAATAAAATAAAATTTCAAGAAAAAATTGCATGTATCTCTGAGAAACAAATTTTCTTAATATTCAAAATATTTGTCCAAATCCTTGAGAAAGTTCAAATGACTTAAGAGAAAATGAGCAATGATTCAAAGGGGCAATTTATCGAAGAAATACAATGGCCAGTAAACATACATTAAAAAGTTAAATCTTGTGAAAGACAAACAATGTAAGATATTGAGACACTACTGTCCCCTTATCAAATTGGGAAGGGTTTTCTAGAAATTTTAGTGAATCAGGCCTAGGAAACAGGAATCCTCATGCACAGCTAGTGGAAATGAAAATTCAAACAACCTTTCTGGAGGGTATTTTGTCTTTAAAATGTACAAACCCTTTGACCCACATTTCTGAGTGTAGGAATTTAAACTCACAGGTAATTTTCTGTCCGTGGTGTGCTGGTGAATACTTAACAACAGGCTCTCTGGTGGGGAAGTTGACTTGTGTGTGGTATTCACCAACTTCTGTGGTGCAGATATTCCTATCATGATTGATTCAAACCACCAATATGTGACTGACCTCAAGAAGAGCTGTGAGATAGCACCATGTCATACACATTTCCACCACACAGATAACTACAAATGAAAATAACYGCCACAACAGAAATAACAGACAAATATAGTAAGTTATTAGGAAGTAATAAAGTTTGAGTGGATCTTTATTAAAATATTTGATCGCAGGTTCGTATGGTTTAGGTCTTCCTCATGGCTGTATTTGGCAGCTGGCTCAAGTTCCTGAAATGACAGTCCTCATGAACCAGTAGCAGCTGACTCTAGCATATCACTGCCATATCTGTCACCCCTGCTTCCATGCTGCAGGACTTGTGGCCTCAAAACCCTTATACCCTTCCCCTATCTTTACATACAGTCTACCCTAGTCAACTTGCAAAGTGGGTGAAAGTGGTTATAGGCAGCTTGGGCCCTTCCCTTTTTGAGACAGCTTCTTCCTCATCATTGTCCCCATCGTCACCCCAACTGGTGTCTCTTCCTGCACCCTATCTTTTTTATCCATTTACGATATTGAAGGGTYTCTCCTGCTCGGTCTGAGGAAAGGTCCTGAGATTTATAATTTATGCCTTGGAGTGAATAAGTTCAACTCTTCTAGCAGGTGGGACTTGTAAATAAGGCCTTATTTATAATTCTGGAATCACACTGACCCAGGTCTGAATCATCATTTTCTTATGAACTAGCTTGTGATCTTGGGTCCACTCATTAACCTCTCTAAGCTTTATTTCCTCATCTCTGCAGTGGGGGAAAATACTAGATTTTCTAATACTCAGTATTAGAAATCATAGATTTCTTGTGAAAATTACATGTGCTAATATATTCAGGGAAATCAGATAGGAGTCTGGCACCTAGTAACTGCTCAGTAAATAGCATATATTTATTTATTATTTTATTTCTACTATTTTCTGTTGAAATGATTTGGAGTACCAGTTGACAGTCTAGAGAGGCAGTTCACTCTGAACTTGACTTTCCTTCCCTTCCTAGCAGTTGTTCCTTCCTGTCTAAAAGCAACAGGGACTTTTGTTCTGGTGCTATAACTCATCAGAAGTAGCCAAGCAGCAACACAATCTCAAGGTCATTTTTCTGAAGGCATTGATGTGATTGACTAAAGATGGTGAAGATCATGTGAATGGAGGTTATTTTTAAGTAATAAAATCAGAGAATTCCATTTTATAGACAGATATCTTTTTATTTTCTCTCTCCCCTCCCGCTTCTCATTCTCCYTCTCTACCACCACCAGCTCCCTCTTTCTCCTCCTCCTTTTCTTTTTCTTACTTCGTCTTAGACATCTTTATTTCCTGACCCTCAAAAAMCACTCATTCTTTCAGGCTCCTGAGTTGCTCTTATTTCTGAGATTTTCTGAAGACTCTTCACACTTATAGCTTTCTGGGTCACCTGTCTTCTTCTTCCTTTTTTTTTTTTTAAATAAAGAAACATGAGTCTTCTTAGAGGTATTACTTTCAACATCCAGTGAGATGTAAGTTACAAATAATTAACTCCATTRAAATTAGCTATATCACTTTGTGTAGTCCTTTATATTTTCCTAGTGCCAGTCTCCTTGCCTGCAAAGTAGAAGTCATAAGTCTTGCCATGCTCTTGATCTGGAGCTGTGGTGGGGATCTAGTGAGATTTAAAAAAAAAATTTTTTTTAGTTGTAGTTGGACRCAATACCTTTATTATTTATTTATTTTTATGTGGTGCTGAGGATCGAACCCAGTGCTTCACATGGTCTAGGCAGGTGTTCATCCACCGAGCTATAGCACCAGCCCATYTAGTGAGACTTTGTGTATGAAAGTGCACTGCAGGTGATAATGCRCCAGGCTCACACACGGTGGCATTGACTTGTTTTTCTGAAAATGCATCTGTTTCTTTGAGGTCACTGAACCTCCTCCTCCTCCTCCTCCATGGATGCAGGGGTAGGGTGGAGGGTTAAGCTGTTTGTTCCCTACCATCTCCGTTGCGATGGTTGGGGGCACTGACTTTGAACTYGCTTCTGGGATGTACTACCATTATGACATTTACCAGCCCTGTGTAGGCAAATTACAGAATCTTTCTCATCCTCCAGTTTCTTTGTTTGCAAAATGTGCATAATGATGTCTTTCTTGGAGGACTGCCAGGGGAACTAAATGAATCAGACATTCAAGGTGATTAACACAGGGCAGACACCTGGGCCGTGCTTCTCATTGACCGCTGCTATTAAATTCCCCTTCAAAAGGCACCTGCACTTCCATCCTATTGACCCCCTCTGGTGGCCCGGCAAGTAGTATGGTCCCACTGGTGTCCGCCATTGCCTTCACAAGGATCATGTGTCTTACATGACCATGAAGTTGGGTCTTAGAAAGGTGGAATGTGGCAAATAYTGGTGATGACACCCTCTCAGCACAYTCTCCCAGCTGGAYCTCGACCTTCTCTTTCTAGGAACCTAGCTTKCTGTCAGATTGCTGCCACTTAATTTGACCAAGGCCTGAAGAGCAAAAGGGCCCCCATTAATATCTGGATGCCACCTTTCCCGTTCCTCTCTACCTGCCTGCCTCCTYGTCCCATCATTATTATACCATCTGTTCTTCAATTTAATTTTAGCTCATAGGTGATAAAATTTCTGCTTATCTTAAAGGTCTGACTTTGGATCTTTCAGGGTTGCATGTATCTACCAGGAAGTACCATCAAAGAGATTGCCTCAAACCCAGAAGAAGCCGGGAAGTTTGTCTTTGAAGTCATTCCAGGTAGGTGCCAAATGGTTAGACAGAGGTGTTTTATATTCCCATTTGACTTCTGGATCCTAGAAGTCAAGATTTTATTCAGTGAGTCCTTCACCAACTAACCAGTCATCCTGTTAATAACATAGAGGATCCTCATGTAGTTCGTAAGCCTATCCAAGTTGGTCAACTAGCATCAAGGGCCTGAGTAATGCCCTAAGTRGGTGCTCATTCAGCTCAATTCTGTAAGCACATTGTGAGTGTACTTGGAGCTAGGTACTGTCCCAAGCCCYRAGGCCCTCATGTGGACAGTGGATCRTCCTGTAACCACTAAAAGTAGCTCAGCCTAGAAGGTGAGTGGAACATTAAAATTAACAGTTGAAATATAAATGAACCATGTTACATGGCCCTTTAGGAGGGTTAAAAATGATGGGAAGTCAGCAGTCTCATACAACTCAAGAGGACTTAATGAGAAATGACAACTTGCTGCACATAGCACTTAGCACATGCTAGGTGTTGCATGTCATTTGTTGTACACTTGAGCTGTATGATGGAGGATCCTCTTCCCAAGCCAGAGTTACCATCCTTGAATGCATTGGAAGCAAGGGCGGTTTGGCTCAGACTCCTGAATCTGCYCCACTGAGGCTGCTTTTCCCTGTCTYTTGCYYCTGTGCCAGCCCYAGTCCYTTGAGTKGTYAAGACYGCCCACTTGGCTGTGCTGTRTTGCTGCTATAGCAGGGGAGCTTACAAGTTCCCAGAATGYCCTTTTCCTTAATCCCACTTGCACAAGGCAGCTGTGTGCATAGAACAGGACATTGATGGAGAAGGAGGCATAGCAGAAAGGGTAGAAGTGCCCAGTCTAGAACCAGCCTGCCCAGGTCCAGATCCTGATGCTGCCACTTAAAATTTGTGTAACAAGCCTCTGTCTCTTTATCCATAAATGGGGACAGTGATCATGACAATGAGGATTAAGTAGAGAAACCCATATGAAACACTTGGTACAGGGTCTGGTATATAGTAGTGTCRTGTAAGTGCAGAGACATTTTGAGGATAACTAGAGAGAATTATAATACAGAGAAAGATCCTAACACCGGCTATGATTCGAGAAAATGAAGAAAAAAAAAGTCTGAGTCCCAGGGTGGTTCCCTCATGGGCACACCCTTGCTTTTTGGTTTGAAGGTCTAGCTTCCTTTCTTCCTCCTCAGAGGAAGAGCTTGCTTTTTGTCTCTCCTCCCTTTTTGGGAAAATCCCACCCTTTCCTCTTAAAACCTCTTTTGTTCTTAGAATCCCTCTCTCAGTGCAATTTGTGGGACACAATCATCCATGGGAACACCTTTCCCAAAGCCTGAGCTTACAACTCAGAAAGCTCTATTGAGAGCTTCCCCTGAAATTCACTGTGGGCTTTGCACCAAAGTCCAGTTCCCTAGAAGATTGCTCTGTGGGGACAGGAGGAAGGTCTGTCCTCTCTTGGTCATTCATGCTCACAGAAGTTTCCTAGACTGCTGGGGGAATTCTTGGATAGAATCATATTCATTCTCTCCCCCCAACACACACTTCATAACAACAAATAATTCTAAAGCGGTAGTAAGGTAGGAAACCATTTTTCTATAGCCACCACTGTCCCCAAGGCTCCACCCAACCTAAAGTGAGATAGCTTTTTATGCTGTGAATTTTCAGATTTTTCTCTTYAATGCAGAGAATTTTCAGTTCCTCTTTTTATGCTCCTTTTGTACATGACAATTCTCGGGGGCCAATGCTGGCGTAAGAAATGGGATTTATAATCAGGGCCATCTCTCTGGGATCAGCAGTTTTAGTCATACAAGTTTCAGACAGAAGCCTTTAATTGTTGTTAGGCTTTTATTTTTAAAATGTGAGGCAGGCAAAAATTTAGGCCTTGCCTTGAGTTTGGCAGTAACCATCTGGGCAGGTATCTTTGCATCTTTGGATCTTTGGGCTTCAATTTTACTATTTATAAAACAGAAATAATACAACTCCTCATTTTATTCCAAAGGAACATTTTAGTACCTAGGGTATCTTTTAGTTCTTCCCCAAGCACGTTTTATTTTTCATTTTACTTTTGGAAACACCCAGATGGTAGGATTTTTTCTGAATGGCCAAGGCTTTCACAAACTGACCCTTCAGGTCAGAAAAACTGATAATCTGATGAAAAGATGTCCCAAAGGGAGAAAAAATGAGAGGCTTGTGACATTTCGCTAACTCCAGGAGACCAGAACCAAAGGGGAATTTGAAAGTCTTTTGTTGCCTGTAGGAAAATACAGGTTTCGACAAAACATAGCAATAGAATACATAGCCTTTACAAGGCTATTTTGAAAGGTGATAGTATCCTGTAATTGAAAGGGATTACCATTACTTTCTTGTCCCTTCTAAGGCCTTTTTTTTAACCAACTAAAGAAAATTCCAGTTTTGTAGATTCCTGCTTATAAGAAGGCTCATGRAAGATGTTAAAATTCTAGTCCCAGATCTGTACTAACTACATGGTCTACAACCTAAGTCTAATAGGTTTACTAGGTTAATACCCATCCTTTCCCTCTTTTACCCTTCTCTCCTGATTTTCCTTTTTCTGTCACTTTCCCCCATTCTTTCCTTTGGTCTCYCTCTGTACCATCTTTGCCTCCTTATCGTTTCACCCTTTTGAGAACACCAAACTCAAGAATATTACGTATGTCTGTGTCTTAGGTTTAAATTGAAAATGGTAAAAAAAAAAGTCCTAACAAACTTCACACGTTTACTACTAAATATTGAGAACTTACCATTTGCAAAGTTTTACACAATCAAGAGAATAGTGATCTGAACAGGAAGTAGTGATTTTGCTAAAAAGTCACACTTATATTCATTGTCGCTCCCACCTAAGGTTACTGTCCCCTTCCAATCTCCCACAATTGAGCTCTGAGCTAGCTTAGGGAAGTACCCATGATTGACATAATGACCTGAAGACTCCAGACTTGTTGGGTTGATCCTGTCTGTAATGCTGAACTTGTATGGTGAACTTCCTCTTTATTTTAGTAGGATTAGCATCTGTCTTCTGTGGAAGCAGCTCTAGGCCKAAACCATCCCAATTGCAAACCGTGGTGTTTAATTATTTTTCTGTAGAATTAGAATTTCTGCAAAAAGCATGTTATTTGACTGGTAGAAGGAATCTGTGCAGGTTCAGCTTCCTTTCCTTCTTTTCCTTATAGTTCCTCCCCCACCACTCTAAGAACTTCATKTGTTCTACTTTTCCCTCCAGCCCCATGGGACCAGAATCGCATGGGACAGGACTCCTATGTCCTCATGGCCAGCTCGCAGGCAGAGATGGAGGAGTGGGTTAAATTCCTCAGGAGAGTTGCTGGCACACCTTCTGGAGGTAAGGGACCAGGCTCTCCTGGGCAAGTATTTGTGGCATCTCAGGCATGAAGAGGAAGTAGCTCCCCATGTGATCCYTCCTTGAAACAGTGGTTCAAGGGAGACAACCAGAGAACAATGCTGAGACCGTGGTCATGGCCAAGTCCTCTGCTGAATGTGAAAGAAAAGAGGGTTGAGAGCATTTAGCTTTTCTSTTGGGTCAACTCCAGATCAACTGTAGGGATGGCAAGTCCTTTGCATTGATCATCAAATGGGTGTGATGCCCTAAAGCATCTCCAGAGAGGAGACTCTCTGGGCCAAAGCACTCCCAGCTGGGAAATGAGTGGGTTGGTCCAGCTGACCCAGGGTTCCTCGCAGCACTAACCCACATGGAACCTATGGATCTGCCCAGTTATGGGACTTAKGGGACCCAAGAGGGCTGACAGCAAGAGCTGTAACAAGCTAATCCGCACAGGAAAATAGAGCTGCTGTCCGAAATAGGAGCAGTCAGACTGGAGGTCTTGCGGGTACATGGTGAATTCTGCATTCAACACTTCTCTGTGTTACATGATTCGAGTGTTTGAGCTCTCTGGGAATTTTATTGATATTTCCACACCAGAGAAGTATCTTGTCTGCAAAATAACCAACAACAGCAGCAGCAGCAAAAACTGATGCAGAAAACTTCTAAAATCMATAAGCACATGAACCTAGTGTGTWTTCTCTTTTCTATAAAARTGTGAGAGAATTGATATGGATGAACTCACAAGACACAATTTTCTCCAACTTTTTAGGGACACTCGGAATTGTGTCAACTTCAGGACCTCTGTAGAAATATATAATTATTTCTTGACTAATTTCTTCTTATTTCAGAAATCATTCATGGAAGCTTTCAGGGTTTTAGTAAACATTGATTTGATTACCCAAAGGATTCTTCCACAAGTTTTAAGAACACCATAATAATTTTATGGAAATTTGAAAAAAAATACCCCTTAAACCATGAGAGGTACTTTAAGGTTTGTTTTAAATGTATACAAACTTTAAAAAATATCTTTATTTTATATTTATGTGGTGCTGAGGATCGAACCCAGTGCCTCACGCATGCCAGCTGAGCACTTTACCTCTGAGCCACAGCCCCAGCCCCAGTACACAAACATTTTTCAGAATGATAAACATAAGATATATGCAATTTGGTATCTTTTATTTTATAACTTAAAAATTTCTCCATGTTCCTATCTTTTTTTGTTCCCTAATTAAACTTTATTTAAAGGGATCTTAAAATTCTAYGACAGATTTTTGGTCAAGTTTTTTCCATTAAAAAGTAAAAGTAGAGACTGGGTGTGGAGGCCTATACCTTGTAATCCCAGCAGTTCAGGAGGCTGAGGCAGGAGGATCGCGAGTTCAAAGCCAGCMTCGGCCACTTAGCAAGGTGCTAAGCAACTCAGTGAGATCTGTCTCTAAATAAAATACAAAAATTTTTAAAAAGGGCTGGGGATGTGGCTAAGTGATTAAGTGCCCTGAGTTTAATACTTGGTACCCCCCCCCAAAAAAAGTACTGATTTAAAAACTAATAACTTAAAACAAACACACACACACACACACACACACTCACTCACTCTCTCTCTCTCTCTCTCTCTCTCTCTCTCTCTCTCGCCCCCAGAACATTCTCCTTTCCTTCTGAAGGCTTTATGATGCATTGTCGTCATTAGCCAGTCTTTTACTATGATACTTAAAGGGCTGATTGAGACAAACAATTCTGAGATGGTTCTCCCACTGTATATTAAATATATTTTCATATGTCTTAAACAAATATTTAATGTTAGGGATGGCATTCATTTAACTACCTGAGCTTTCTGGGAAGATGTAGTGGCCTTGCCAGCTCCAATAGCCTCTGTCCATGCTTTGATGTCATCCACAGCGACTGTCAGTCTCGTATCACAAAGCAGCAAAAGAACCCAGAGTAGGATAGTGAGAGAAGCTGGACACACATGGCCTGTCTGGAACCATATCAATGATAGAAGCATCACCAGATTTTAAGAATTTAAGGCCATCTTCTTTCTTCTTACCAGAATGGCAATTTATCTTTTCTTTCAGCTCTGCACAGTTGTTGGCAATGTTAGCTGTGACAGTGCCATCCAGGAGCAAGGCTGGTACTGAGTTGGCCTGGAGGATTCAGGATGATCACCCAAACAGTGAAGCCAACTGCTTCCCCTTTGGGTCACTTTTGCTGTCACCAGCAGTGTTGCCATCACAAACATCATTTTTTTGTGGGGGGGGGGTGTTCAGAACTGGGTATTGAACCCAGGGATGCTTAACCGCTAAGCTACATCCCCAGCCCTTTTTTGTATATTATTAAGAGACAGGGTCTCACTGAGTTGCTTAGAGCCTCACTAAGTTGCTGAGGCTGGCTTTGTACTCATGATTCTCCTGCCTCAGCCTCCTGAGCTGCTGGAATTACAGGCTGGGGCCACTTTGCCCAGCTCCACAAACATTTTGGACAGACACATTCTTGACATTGAAGTCTGTTTTGTCCCCAGCTTCACTCAAAGCTTCATGGTGCATTTCAACAGACTTTACCTCAGTTGTGACATTACAAAAGTGACCTCCATGTCAGGTTTGGGAACAGCAGTCTCCACTCAGCCCATGAGGACTGCACCTATCTCACCAATGTTGTAGACGTCCTAGAGGGGCAGACATAAAGGCTCATGATTTGGACATGTTGATGGCAGGATTCAATCCAAACTCGGGCACAGTGGTTCCACTGGCAGTGCCAACTTTGTGGGTGGCTTTCCATGCATATCAACACTTAGCTCCAGCATGTTGTCACCATTCCAACCAGAAATTGGCCCAAATGATACTGTGTTGGGGTTGTAGCCAGATTTCTTAGAATGGGTGCTGACTTCCTTAATAATTTTTTTCATCTCTCTTCTGCCTGTGGATGGCTCAGTGGGATCCATCTTGTTAACACCAACAATTGTTTGTTCATACCCAGTGTGTAAGCCAGAAGGGCATGCTCAGGGTTCTTCTCATTCTCAGAGATGTCAACTTCAAATTCACCAACACCAACAGCAATAATCAGGATAGCACAGTCAGCCTGAGATGCATCTGTAATAGGGTTTCTGTTAAAGTCTCTATGTCCTGGGGCATCGAGATAGTCTTGTAACACTTGCACCATGGTCTCATATTTCCAGGGGACATGTCAAGGGTGATACAACGCTCATGCTCAGCTCTCAGTGTATCCAAGACCCAGGCATACCCAAAGGAGCCTCTCCCATCTGAGCAGCCTCCTTTACAAAATTTCCAATGGTTCTTTTGGTAGATCCCACCATATTTGTAGACCAGATGGCTGGTAGTGGTAGACTTTGCTGGAATCTACATGTTCGATGACAACAATGTTAATATGAATCTTTTCCTTTCCCATTTTGGCTCTGATTTAGTGGTGGTTTCCACAACGTGTTCCTGTGGCAAACCTGATGTGAAAAAGGATCTTAATTGATACATTACAGGGATTATTTGGAAAGAAATCATATATGATGACATTAAACAACACAGAGGGACTTACCAGGCAGATAGAGGAGCTACTCATAGAAACCAAAAGCAGAAACTGTGAGGGGGCCTGACAAAAGCCAGGGGTGAGGGATGGAGTGTGGAACTGAGCTTTATCCTGTCGGTTTCTCTGGCGACATGCAGTTTCTCCTGCTTTTCTCTGCAAATCTGCCTGTTTTCATCTAGTGGGCATGGACGTGCATCTGCTTGTCCCAAGTACTGCCATGCCAACCCAGCATTCTTTCGCTTCTCCCACAAGCACAGTTTCATCCTAAACAGTCCCATTACAAACTGAGAAAAAAAAAACTGCCTGTTTCAGCTAAGGTCCCGAGTTCATTTGTGGTTCCAAGACCTGGGGTGGCAGGCAGCTCTGGCTCCGACCCAYCAGCAAGGGCTTTGAGAAAAAATAAAATGTACCCTGAATGGGACAGCTAAACTCAAGAGTGCCTGCCCAGCCATCTGTATCCTGTAGCAGAAAGAGTTACATAGTTTTGTTAACCATTTCCCAGGCCCTAAACACCTTTTTTTTTTTTTTTAAAACCATGCTAAGGGATAAGACAAGGATTTTTATGTATTAAAGCTTGATTATATGCTGTTTCAGCTTGCATAATCTTAGCTGTGACCTTCCTTCTTGCCTTAGATTATATTATTTCGAGCCCTGTTGACATTTTCTGCTTTCCCCAGTGCAGGGCTTATCGGGCTGCCCCCATTGATCAGGACAGCCAATGTTGCCTAAATATGCACCTGCTCAGAGTCAAAATGCTGTCAATGTACTTTCACCAGGATCTATGCCTTTTGCGATGCTTGACTGAGCCTTGCCATGGTGACCTGCTGCACTTTGTCCGAGTACACGGGGGACTTCTCCCCCCACCCCCCCACCCCAAGGCCGCCACCCTGAGAAGCAAATCAAGCATAAGTCCTGTAGGTGGTGGAAAGTCCAGGGGAGCGGAAGTCAGAGTACATCACTTCTTACTAATTCAGAGATCAGTGTTGGTTCTGATGTGGCATCTTGGGTATTTTTAAAGTCACCCAGTGAACCAGAATCATAGATCCCAGCCTAAGAAGGCATTTTAAGACAGCAGAGTCCCATCTAAGGCCACTGGGCAAATCAGATACTTGTTCTTTCTATTCCTAAGTCAGGGAACTTCAGTTCTAAGGGAATAAATGGCCTGTCCAAGGGGTGGGGCAAGGGGTAGGGCCAAGGTTTCTTTGCACAGTACCACTTGGTAAAGCACACCTAGGTCCACAGGACATGTCCCCCAAGCTTTCTGAAGTCACTGAGATGTTTTGCTGTCATCTCTTTCTAGCCCTTCGTGAAATTGTGTGGCTTTTCTTTTTTTAGCACTAGGGAGCTGCCCACTACTCACTACCTTCACTACTTCCTCCCCCTGGAGAAAGAAACCTTTTTTTGTCCAAATTTCAGTCATAGCTTCCAAACATCTCCACACCCTCACCCCTGCTCCCTGCAGTCTGTTGTCA